TTAAGGCTATCTTATCCTTAGGCTCCCAAGGTCAGGAAGCAGCAGCCTCAGGCTCCTGAACTGTCTGGTTCTCCTGTAGCTCACATCTACATTTCAAAACTAGAATGACTTTCTTAAGGCAAAAAAAATCTGAACATAGGACTACTGGTCTGGCGACAGGAGTCTTACAGAAGGAAACATAACCATTGCATAAAAAGGTCAATTTGAAGTAAGCACTTTTTAGGCTACAAAAGTCTCTTCTAGAGATAGATAGAGTAATTGGCAGGATTTGGCCCCGTGCACTGAGCCAGCCATGTCTCTAGAAACTTGTGTTTCTAGACCTAGGTAAACAGGTTTAGCAACTGGACAAGATTTAAACTTGAAGCTCACAGTGAAACCTATATTTATCATCTAGCAATCAAATTTTACATATTGGTAAAAATACATTACTTTAAGGCTAACAAAAATCTTTTTACTCTTAATGTGTAACACACAGATGCAAATTATTTTCTTGATAGCCATTGTAGAATGTAAGTGGCTGCCTCAGTCTAATTTCTGAAGGCGTGACTCATTAAGTTCTACTGAAAAGCTCAGGTAGAATTCCTAGTTTACTGGCAGAAAGAGAAGGGAAAAAGTACAATGGGTTAGTAGATATCTTTCAGTAGTCAAGAACCATTGTCGACCTAATGTCATTTAACTGGCAAAAGGAGTCACATGTTTTACAGGCATGTATATGTTCTAAGTCTGAACTAGATTTAAAGATCCCATTTTTCAGAAATTTACATAAAATTCATTAGAAGCTTACAAAAATTTTCTCTAGTGCTAATGTCTAAAGTCAAGCAAGGAATATCAGTACATTTAGCAACCACTTCAAATGCATCGAATACAAATACAAAACAGTCATAAAATGTCCCATTAAAGAAACATCATAACCTTATAACATTTCCATGTTTTAGCTTAGATTTACCAACACATTTTGACCAATATTTTAACAACTGCATAATGAATTTATCTGTACCGGGTGGCATGCAGGATAAGCGGGTCCTGAGGGTGATGGTCAGAGGTCACAGCCACATCTTATCAGTTGGAACTGCTGGTGCGACCATGTGGGATTGGCTGGTCGTCTGGGGATGGCATCTGGAACAGCAAACTTTGAGCCATTTCAGAGGTTCATGACCAAGATCAATCCAAGTCTGAATGTAAGGGAGCTGGTCAAGGTGTCCTAGATTTCCAAAGATGACTCTCTAGACGTGGTAAGCAAAAGAAAGGTTAAAAGAGCCCTGCAGAGACCAAGCAGCCTAGGAGGAGGGCCATTCCAATTCGGAGAAGGTCCAACGTTTTCTGGGGGACAAAGAGTCTCCGTACTCAGGCTCGCTGTCTGAAATCCTAAAAATTATTTAGAGAACATTATAGGGGCGACAAAGACACAGAAACAGAAGCACACTGACACAAAGTTATTAGACAGACAAATGACAATCGGCCGAAACACACAAAAACGAAACAAAAACAGATCCGAGACTCCAATATGTCGTCATGGAGGGAGTTGAGTCCAGGGGCTATCTTTACATCTAACACCGCCTAGGACTCCCACATGGGCACTCAAACAGAACAGATACAGATGTCTTACCGGTAAGAACTTACGGACGGTTCAGAGGTTCAAATGATATTTGTAAGTTTTCGGAGACCCTGCTGGGGCCAGAAAGTCTCCCCTCGGGAGGTGGTTTCAGAAAACACTGGTTCCTCAGATGGATCCCCGGTAAAGGGGATCCCGGACGAGCCCCCAAATGTTATGGGTCACTCAGAATAGGAACCAGATCAGCCAGATTGGAATTTGGAAAGCCATTTATTACTGAGCTCAGAGACCCCAGTCTGCTCTCATGCAGGAGAGGACAGAAAGGCAGCTAGTCCAGGAAGCAGAGGGCTTTTAAAACATGAAGCCACATTTGTTTGGTAAACAAATTCATTGACACAAAGCAATGCTTTCAGGG